AATTTTATTGATGGACTGGAATCAGAAGGAGCCTCCTTTTCTGTCTATGTGAAAGGACAAAAAGTCGTCGATCTCTGGGGAGGCTATGCAGACAAACAGGCAGCGAGGACTTGGAAAGAGGTGATGTTCACACTAATCCTTTACCTATAGTAGAAAAAATCATTGCACGAAATCACAGAATACGATCAGCGTTGTGTTCTCCGCTACTAAAGCCGTCGCTGCGCTTTGTATTGCGCTGTTAGCTGATCGAGGAAGGCTTGAATACGACGATCTTGTATCAAAGCATTGGCCAGGATTTGCCAAGAATGGAAAAGAGAATATCACTATCGAATGGGTGATGTCACACATGGTGAATAACTGACTGGCAGATCTTGTAAATCTAAAGTCACATGTTATAGTCAGGTCTGCACTACTTCGATGAGCCCATTACTAAGAAGATGGCTTCAAAGCACAACTTGATGAGAAAGGTGATTGAGGACGAAAGACCCAAGTTGCCACCAGGAACTAAATTCAGTTATCACACATTTACCTATGGTTGGCTCGTCGATCAAATTGTCAGGCATACTGACAAGAAGAAGCGAGGAATTGGGCAGTTTCTGCGAGAGGAGATTACTAAACCAAATGGTATGATGGTTGCTTACCGTAATGCTGGATAGGATATATGCAATTAGGGCCGCATGGCGTAATGTACTCGCTGTGGAGGTCGCAGCTCGAAAAAGCTTCGCATTGAAGCTCTGAATATCCGTAATTCTCCTGCATATACATCTACAAATTTACTATCCTTTACTATAAGCATATTGAATAGGAGCGAGAAGTTGTACAGGCCGCGTTTTCCAGCGTATGTATGATCCCGTGATGATCCCATCGCCTTTTGTGAGAGTCATCTTTCTTTATTCGAAGTTCATGGAAACATTCCATAGCCGTACTGATTCATTTAGCCTCACAGTGTTGAGCATGTTTCTATACAACAAATGAATTATAGGAATTGAGATTTTCGATAAATCCCATCTTCTAACTTGTGGTTCATCAAAAATTCTGCTAGATATGCTTACAGTACGAAGTCATGGGAACGCTTGCGCATAGATAAACAGCGAGAAATCCAACTGCTTAAGTCTTCAAAAATGTGAAGCTCTTTTTTAATTGGTGACTAGTGAATGGCTCGTTCAAATTACTAAAGCTTTTGGCCATATAATC